GAAGAAAGCGGTTGTCAGTAAGCAAGAATTACGATATATCCTCCTTGGCCTAATTTACACTGATTTTTGTTTTTTTACAGTAAGTTTCACTTTACACAAGGCCAGGGAGTCACTCGAGGTAGAGGGTTATATTAAGAGTGAAAGATAACGGTTAACCCTAGCCTTGGACAGGTTAAGATTGTAGTGATCGGGGAAACATCCTACTGGGAGACGGTTCCACAGGGCAGTGGTTCACGGGAAGAAGCTGTTTGAGTGGAACTTCTTACCGATGGAATACAGAGGGAATGAGGGAGATTTGCTACTATCGAAGTGACATGGCGTGTTCTTGTCGTGAAGGTTTGTCTTGGCTGGATCAGAGAATGTAGTTCATCCGAGCACTTTCTACGGAAGTAGCGGTAGAGAAGTGAGAGACTTGCCACATCCGACCTGTTAGAGAGAGAGAGAGAGAGAGAGAGAGAGGTTTGGAGAATAATTCATCACCCACAAGGGCTCAGAGACGCTTCTGAACTCTATGAAGTGCTGGAAATTGAGGTTTGGGCAACTCCCACCCAAATATGACAACAGTACCTTTATTTTGGCTTGCTCTGGTGTTTAATTACAAACTGAAAATTTAATTGATATATCTCGGAATTTTTCCAACTTTTCCTATGAAATCTAGAAAACAAACTTTAAGAAAATGCTTATCATATGGAAAAAAAAGTTGTCAGTTTAAACTCTTGCCAGGAGGATAAAGTTTACGTCAGACATTACAAGTAGAATAGTTCACTTCTATGCGGAACAGTAACACGTATTTTCAGTATCTATATAAGATTTTGTAAGTAATTTTATAAAATGCTACCAGCCATATCCAGCTGGTCGATCAGAAAAAGCGTTCAATTAGAATGGAGCAAAAGCAGCATCATGTTTAAATGTAACAGAGTCTATCTTGTTCAATTACTTTAAAATACTTTCAGTAAAAAAACAAAAACATTTTGAATTAATGCAGTTACTGATATAACAGAAGTAGTATGCATTTATTTAATCGAAGTTAGCCGAGGACATGAAGGGGTAAAACAGGCAACATGAAGACCCACTTCAGACTACAATTATTTTGGAGTTTTTGAAATTCAATTTGTCAGTGTGCTACCAGGGATGTAAAAGAGGATACATTTAGAAAGCAATTGTTAAGTTTGATGAAAATTGGTTGAAAGATCAACGAAAAATAAGAAAGAAACTAGTAAAAATCGCCATTTTTTCGCTATTTACGCGGGTTTTCACTATTTGGGTGGACTCAATTATTAAGTTAAATGACTGTTAAACAATCAAATTATTGTTGGCTACAATTGACTGAAGTTTGTATCAGACGGCTTGAAAATTGAGGAAGTTTTTAGTTTAAAATTTGTGTTGAACTCGATTTTTCGTTTTTCGCGATTTTTCGCTAAACGCAGTGACGTAGAAATAAAAAATGAGGTATTTTTGAGCTCGTCATGATGTAAGTAACCTAAATACTGAGTTTGAACGAAATCGGAGGAAAAAAGTTGAATTTATCGATTTTTAAATTGGTTTTATCCATTATTGATTTCTTTTTAAAAAAATCGATTTTTTTACGCTAGGAACCTATCTCTTACATTGTACAACGTGTTTATCAAGTTTGGTCAAAATCGATTGGATGGATCTCGAGTGAAAAGGTCGACAGTAACGCAGACACACAAACATCCTCTGTTTTATATGTTTAGATATTTTCATAATATATTAATTCATTTCTTGGAATAAGAGAAAAGGATTCAAATAAAAGACTTTCTCGAAAGACGATCAAGCGACAGAAAAAATAAAATAAAGCGATCTATTAACTGAAGATAAAACAGAAACTGAGATATTAAATTGAATGATTAAGAATAAAGGCAAAAAGTACGAATAGCGTGTAAATTATAAATCGAATCAAAATGGTTTGACATAAAATAATAAAAAAAAACATGAAAAGGTTTTTCTTAAACATTAAATTTCTTGTAAACAATAGATGAGCGCAGATCCCCAGTGTTGTCTGAATCGAATGTGATGTTGAACACAAGATGTCTTAGAGTCCGTCGATACATTGTGATTCTCTGCGACGGCAACCAGATGGCGGCATTCTGATGCCTTGAACAGATATTTCCCATCTGCCGTCGATAATTCATTACATTATAGAAAAAGGGAGACAGTTTTAGAAGAATTGCATATTAGAAGACAAAGTGCTAAAAGGTTCCTGACCACGTTCCAAAATCTAACCAAGTGAACAATAATAACATTTTGGGAAGATTTTCTTGCCTTCAGGGCTCTCCGTATGGAGAAATAGGTGTATATATATAAAAACAAAAAAAAAATAAAAACAAAAAAAAACAATTCACCACAAGTAAGAGAATAAAGCCACTAAAAGCTGTGGGAATGAAAGTTAATGAGAAGACTTTAGAAGAACCGGAAAGCCAATCGTAAACAGAAAACAAGAGATAAATCTCTGTCACTAATCAAAAACCGAGGAGGAGTG